TATTCAGTAACTAGCTGAAGCTCTCCAGGATCTCAGATGTTTTTCTCATCATCTGCTACATCTGCTACCTGATCCTTAACTTCGGATTCCAGAAATGGAACCTACAAAATGGGAGGCAATGTATACAGTGAGTGGCCTTTCTGTGTTATAGCGCTTGCATGGCATCATTGCTACAAGGAAGGGTTTCAGGTGTTGGTGTTTCCCTCAAAGGCTGTTTGGTTGTTTTAAAACTCCCAGAAGCCTTCACCACTACCTGTGCTAGCCAGGATTGCTAGGAGTTGTAGTCCCAAGAACATCTGGAGACTCAAGGTTGGGAACCACTGTTTTAGCCAAAAGAAGACACATAGTTCATTCTTGCTATGTGCCATCAAGTTGCCTCTGACTTACGGCAACCCTATGAATGAAAAAAAAAATGAATGAGTGCTCTCCAACATGTCCTGTCCTGTCCTGCTCAGCTCTTGTAGTTGCAACCTTTCTTTTTCTTTAGGGAGTCGGCCCATCGCATGTTTGCTCTTCCTCTTTTCCTGCTGCCTTCAACCTTTCCCAGCCTTATTGTCTTTTCCAGAGAATCTTTCCCTCTCACGATGTGCCCAAAGTAGGACAGCCTCAGTGTCATCATTTTTGCCTCCGGAGATAGTTCAGGCTTCATTTGCTCTCGCAGCCCACTTGTCTGTATTTCTGGCACTCTAAGGTGACCACAAAGCTCTTTTCCAACACCATATTTCAAATGAATTCAATTTTTTCCCCTGTCAGCTTTCTTTCCTATCCAGCTTTCACACCCATACAAGGTGACTGGAAATACAAGAGTGTGAATTACCTTGATCTTGATTCCCAGGGATACATCCTTGCACTCAGTTATCTTTTCTAATTCCTACATTGGTGTCCTCCTGAGTCTCTTTTCTTGGCTGCAGTCTTAACACGTTGACACCAATTGTTAATATTCAGAGCGCCATCTGCTGGCAATTGAAGAAGCCACCGATGGGGCCAGAAGTTTGTACAGTATACAGTCAGTGGTGCTGCAGTCCTTCTCTGCAAAAAAGGGCTCTAGAGATTCAGCTTTGAATAGACTCCAGCTCTTCCGAATGAAGACATAAATGGTATCAGGCTGCCAAATCTGACTACCACTGGTCATGCTGGTTACGGGGTTATAAGGAGTGTTTGTTCAAACTCTTATTCGTATGAAGGCAGTTCTTTCATCGGAACGAGTCAGCACAAATATTTGTTACAGTTTTATGAGACAACACTGCAAGTGCAAATCCTTTTTATTCCCAGTTAAATAAACTGGGGAAAAGAACACCCGCAGCTACCCTGATCAGGATGACCCGGAGGATTTCTCAATTAAAAGCAAAATCATTAACTGTCGACCTATTACAAGGCAAGGAAAGAGCCCAAACATTTCCCACGAACCAATGACAGCACAAGAAAGCCGGTTCCGGGTAGCAGTGGACCAATAGGGATGCACAGGATGGGTGTAACAATTTGAATCCCAGATTTGTAAACAGGGCAGGAGGGTGAAATTAACGTTTTGCTACAGGTTGTTTTCTCCCTGAACTACAACCTCTGCCTATCTACCGCACGTGGCATTTGCTGGTTCTTGATAATTATTATTCTGCCAGGTTTGTTAACCATTGGAATTTTCCTTCAGTACTTAGCTGGCGGAATGTTATAAATGTGAAGTGACAGGAGGCACTTTTTCCTGATGCTGATCAACAAGGCGCAGTCCTACGTGTACTTGCCTAGGACCAAATCTCGTCGAATTTAACACGGCTTTCTTCACAAGAGACACGCGTGGTTGATTCACTTTCCCTACCAGTGTGTAGAAAACTCAGTACTTGTTGATGGAGGGGGGGCGTTAAATGCAAGGGCGAACGATCTCTTACTACGTACTAGGGCAGGCAGAGTAAGATGTTAAGAACAGGTGTTAACTCAGGGACTGAACGGAGAGCGAGAAGCAGCATCACCCGATTTAGCAGAGGGGGGAAAGAAAACCCACACGTATAAATCATGCGAAGGACCAACCGGTCCCAAATCTTTGCAACTCGGCCTTGATGGACGGCTTGCTTTTCGAGCTTAATTTCCAAGGGAAAGCACCAGAAAGCAGCACACTGCTCCAAAAATACTCGTTGCTCGGTTTGAAGGGGGTTCATTCTCCTTTTTCCTACGCGTCAAAATGTCTTATGTATATTCAGGCGCCAGAGGAACCCATTAATATTATAAATCGAATACGATTTTTTGAAAAAAAAATCACTCGATGTCTTTTTTAAGAATTAGCTCATCTGGGGCACGTTTTCGGAGACTGCACGGCTGTTCATCAGACACACGGAATGTAGGCTCTCTTGACGGATATTTGCACACGTGCCACGTAGGATACGCAGGAAGTCCTATATAACACAGGAGAGAGGCTCGTGTGTAAAAAAACCAAAAACCACCCTTCCTTCACCTAACCGCAGAGCCTAGCCGCTGAGAGAAGAGCGCTCTCCCGTCCTACGTTCCCCAAAAGCAGTGCTAGAGGCCCTTATTCCCAGGTAATTGCATACACAGGCCTGGAGTCGTCGTGCACCCTCCTAGACGTGTGCATGTGCGCGCGCCCGCGCGTGTGTTTTAATGCAATGTTGCCGGTGGTGGGGTTCTCCCCCCCCCCCCGCCCCGTACTGCACCAACTCTGGGCATCGGTGCGCGACCCAACAGGCTGAGAAAGGAGGGACAAGAGATTTTCTGTATCTTCTCCCCAGTCGCACCGCGCCCGGTTTTGCTTTAAAAGTAGAACCGCTGAAATGGGTTGCTCTTTCCCCCTCCGTCTGGAAGAAGGCAGGTAAGAGAAGCTCGCGCCGCTTCCCCATCTTGCCCCGGCTGGAGGGAGAAATTTCCAAACGACACCAAGGGTGAGCGGGCGGGTGCAGCCCGGAGTCAAGCAGGTTGCTTGTGGGAGGAGCAGCAGCAGCAGCAGCAGCGCGCCGCCGCCGCTCAATCAGGGCTGCTGAGGCCGGAGCGGGTTCCGCCGGGCTCGCTTCTTGACAGGAGGCGCTCCCGACCAGAGGGGCGGGAGCTCGGGCGCTTTCCCTTGCTCGCGCGCGCCTGGGAAAATGTTGCGCAGGTTCTAAAATGGAACGTTGGAGGCGGCGTGATTGAGCGCGCGAGCGGCGGCGGCGGCGGCGGCGTGCGCCTGAGAGGGAGTGAGGGAGTGAGTAAGCCAGCCAGCCAGCCAGGGAGCGAGCGAGCAAGCGCGAGATTTGCAACCGCGGCCGCAGCTCAATCGGCGGCACGCAGACCGACCCGCACAGAATCTACGACGAGCAGCCGCCTTCGTTTTCCTTTTCCTCCTCTGCCACCGCCGCCTCCTCCTCCTCCTCCCGCATGGAGCTTTCCGCTATTGGGGAGCAGGTGTTTGCGGTGGAGAGCATCCGAAAGAAGCGCATCAGGAAGGTGAGTTCCCGTTTGCTTTGGCCCACTCGCCTTTGGTTTTGCCGAGGTGCAAAACAGTAGCGAGGGGAGGAGGCGGGGGGCGCATCTCGTGTCCATGCCTTCTCAACGACTTCTAAAGCAGAAGACGCACGGGCTTCTCTGCTGCCTGTTGGTTTTTGCAGATGTCTAGAACAGCAACGGCACATTGCCCTGTGCGCCCGATCCTCAAGTCTTCTACGGTGCGAGGAAGGGGGCGTGGCGGAGCATCTGATGTTCCTGCCGGCAGGGGGCGTCAGTGAAGCCCTAGTGACCGTCCTAGAGCCCTTGAAGGCACGTGCGTGGTTGGCTGCTGTCATACTCCGAACAAAATTTGGGAAGAATACAGATTATTCCAAGTCACCACGCGGTGAAAGCATGGACTGATACTATATTTCACTATTTCAACCGTTCAGTGTTCAGTGTAATTCTGTGTTTGCTACTCATAAGTAAAATTCAGTTTAGTATCTCTTACTCTTAGGAGAATGTTCCTTTTGCAGTTTTTAGATCCCATAGTGCTTTATTTGTAACCATAACATAGTGGTACAGCAGAGGATGCTTTCTTGCTAGAAGAGCAGGTGGAAAGTTGCCAATTAAAATGCATATCTGCCTCATAAAGCACCTGCTCTTCAACTTGAACTGTTTGCCCGTTTCCTCCTCCGTAGACCTGCAAAGACCGCCCTGTAGAATGGAGGAATTTCTATTGGATCTTTCAGAGTTTGTTGTTAGTTTTCAGTGCATGTTGATGGAGCAAAAGGAATTACTGAAAGCTGAGTTAGATGTTGGAAAGATCAGCAAGTTATTGTGTCGTCTGGGTGTTTTGGAATAACCTCTTGTCTAATTGTTAGGCCGTTAGTTTTGACCATCCAGTTGCCATCCCTTTGGTGGGGTCTCTGTGTGTATTGCATGTGATAATGTATCCCATTTCATAGAGGCTGGCATGGTCAAACAGTGGGAAATGTGACTGCCTTATAATAGGCTTGTACTGAACTGTGGAAAGTCGGAAGCCCCGCAAACACTTTACTGTATAAGCTGTTGACTAGCGGATTCCCCCAACATAGAAAATGTTGCATTGGGGAGGCCAAATGACTTTCCCAAAAGCCTCCACATCTTATGAGGCAAATTTCCACAGACATTTCCAAGTTAGGCCCAGCTGTTCAAGAAATTTGTGGTTTTTAAAAGTATAGAAGCATTTTCTGATTTTTGAGGCCCATATTTCAGCTTCATCTTTTCAATCTTTATAACTCTGCATGTTGTACTTTGGAAATCACAGTTGCACAGTCAAACAGTTGTGCCTAATGTTGCTGTTCTGCTGGAGTTTACTGCTCAAGCCTTCTTTACCCATCCATGTATGGTATGAAACCAAATCATCACCGTTGGACAGGCTCCTGAATCAGACAGTAAGGAGCACATGATCTCTAGTATTAAAGGAATGGGGGGAAGTGGCAGTAGGCTGACCTTCCATGTTGCAAACCAATAGGAGTGAAGGTGGGTGGAGATACTGGGGAATTTGCACCTCCCCAGGCAACTTTCTGTACTTCCTTAGGAAAAGCAGACTGAGAGCCATTCCCGTAGCCTAGACTCCTACTCTATGCCCGCTGTCATTATGATAAGATTACATCATTGTAGAAGGAGAAACTCGGTTAATCAGATTATAGTATGCTTTAAAGTAGAGCACGTGTATGTGTGTGGTATGTGTAGAAGACCGGAATGGCTCCTGGGACAGCAAAAAAGCAAGACTGATGCATATCAAATAAGCCACGCAACCTGGAGGAAAGATTCTTAAGAGCTTCTGCAAAAACAGTATTCCTTTCTCCATTTCTAAGCACTCCTCCTTATTGATATACAGTATTCACGGTCATCCATGAAGTCCTTCAAGATTGCTGGGCGTTTTTGCACAGAGTCACTGATTATATCTGTGTGGTATATCGAAGGATTCAGCTCAGCAAGGAAAGGTTTACTTTTCAAATGGAAAGGAATTGGACACATCTAAATGTATGATTAGGTTTGTTAGGGCAGACATTCTGGTTATTCGTTTATTTCTGCATCCTTCTGTGGAACTGGGTTCCATAACTGACTTTTTCTCCTTCTTCTTTTTCTGTAGGGTAAAGTGGAGTACCTGGTGAAATGGAAAGGATGGCCCCCCAAGTAAGTTTCAGGGTATTTGTGCAAGCAGTATCTATGTTGAGTGTTTTCCATTTTATTTTTTTGTATACTCAATTATGTTGGCCCCAATTCCAAAAGAAGTGCTTTACTTACTTCCGTTGCTAGTAATATTAACCAAATTCAGCTAATTGGTTTTAATTTTTTTTAAATCTCTTTTTTTCGAATGCTTGTTGCTAGGATGTTGTAGAAGATAGCTAATTGCCAGGAAGATGGTTTCTTTCCTGGATGTTTACATAAAAATCTTTAGAAAATACCACTGGAGTAATCCCATGGAAATTGTTGTTATAGTCTTCAGGATGGTGGAGATTGACATAAGTGCATTGTGATTACAGTACTTCATTTGAGTAGCAACTGGACAGTAACCTGGAGTCCACAATGTTGGTTTGACTTATTATCCAACCACTATTTGTGGTGATCACAATCCTGTCCCCACTCTTAAGTCTCCTGACATACTCAGAAGGCGAGAGAGAGAGAGAGAGAAGCACATTTGTTTTTCCTTAGGTGGAGTATTATTTGGAAGCATTTCCTATAACTACTGGAAAGAAGACCTCCAAGTTGTGGGTGGTTCTTGCACCTTACAACTTGGGAATGTGGATTTGTCAGTACCTAACAATCAACTTCCAATGTAGTATTCAAAAATAATTGGCAATTGGGTGCTTTCCCCCCTTGCTTTGGGTGCAACAGAATCAGCACTGATTCTTTGGAGAGTAAAAGAAGCTTTATATTCACTGAGGCATTTTATATTGATTAAATGGAATAATGCTGCCTAGGGTTTATAGCTATGTAAGGCCTCCCCAGAGGTAGCTGCATTTCAATAGGAAGCAATTGTTCCTTACTTTGCAGTGTGTATCAGCATGAAGGATTGATACAGCTGTCAAATCATTCATTACTAATGTATTGGCTATGTAAAGAAAAAGTTTCCCTGTTAATCCGTGCATAGAGACATATCCATTCTTCTGCCCTGCACAGATAAAATTACAAATACAATAATGTAGTGCACATTTAAATTGAAGAAGTTGGAAGGGGCTCGGTGCTAGTTAATATCAGATGTAGCAGGTGGTGCACTTGGATGAGTTTAGACCCTGAATTTAATGGCTTTCAATTTAATATAAATTACTTCAACTTATACATCTTAGTACATTTTAATAGGCAGTTCCTTATGAACTTTCTTCAGACTTGAATTTTGACCCTTTTTCATTAACTGTATCACATTTCAGAGCAGAAATTGTTTTTTAGTCCATGATACTTGTCCATTGTTTATTTTCTTCCATAGAAGTATAGTGGCAGCCTACATTCATTTGGCCTAATAAGAGTATTATAATAAGAAGGACTTGGGGGATTTTTCTTTATGGCCAGGAAAGATACCCTTGTTCTGTGGTTTTCCCCATCCCTTCCCCTTCATTTTTTCCCCTTACGTTCCGTGGCAATCAAATCCTACGATAAAAATATGATGAGCTTGCTGATTCCTGAAGATTGCAAACAACAACAGGGCTTCATCTATGCATCACAGATCATGTTGAAGGTTGCCACTTTTTAACAGAATCCGGGTCCCCAAATATCAGAATTATGGGATGTTGTCCCCCACAACCTTCAAAAGAAGATGTATCTCATGGCCCGGTCCTACATCCTTGCGTTCCAACGCAATTCCTTTCCAGTCTCCTCAGTGCTGATTTTTACTAATTATCCGGGTGTGTTTGCATTTGTCTGCTTTACTCAGAAATCCTACCCAGCTTTTTCTGTTTTTCTCCTCTCTGGCTCAGAAAGAAGGCAAATGTCGCAGTTCAAGAGTTGTTTGGCCTTCCCCTGCTTCTTTCCCCGGGCTGTCCCTCCTCCACCTTGTGTCATTTATGATCCTCTCTCTCTCTCTCTCCCCAGAAGAAAAATAACTGCTTGCCCGCACACCCCGCCCATTAGAGCCGGGAGCCAGGGATTTGAAGGGTTATGGCTCTGAGTCAGCTGCAAGCTTGTTTACAACTTGGATTGGGACGGAGGAAGGGAGGGAGGGAGGTGGTCACATGACTTGTATTTTCCAGAATGCGTGGTCTGCAGTTCTGCTGCAGTCTAGTCTCTGCGTTTGGGTTGTGTGTGTGTGTGTGTCTTCCTGCCTGCCGGGTGTGTGTGTGTGTGTGTGTGTGTGTGTGTGTGTGTCTCTCTCTCTCTCTTCCTGCCTGCATGTGGTGAACTGCACTGTTTTTCTGTATGCAGTGTTTTCTCACTGCAGTCAAGCAAGAAGCTGTACTGCAGAGGAATGGGCAACACCCACAAGAGATTTTTCAAAAAATATATACATAATAAATTCCCAACCTTCTCCTTGCCTCACGTCTCTCCCCTTTCCTCCCTTTCCCCCCCCCCGCCCGCTGTCACCTGTCTTCCTCTGAGGACCCCTCAGCCTCTCTCTCATGCATTGCTCGAAACAGATGCCAACATTCTCTGTGGCAGGAAGGGAGAAGACAAAACACTGTCATTTGCTTGAGTCAAAAATTTGGTTTAAGTTTAGGTTGAGGATGTTGCTGCTGTAGCTTGGCATGAAGAGAAGGGGTGCCCGGGATGGGAGAGAACTCTTAAAAGAGAGGAAGAGGTTGACTAATAATGGAAACCGAAAGAGAATTAATGAAAACGAAGCTGGAGAAGACCTGAACTATTTTTAACCTTGCCCTTCCCCAGAGAGATGATGTGAAAGACATCTCTGAATTAAACGTATTGACTTATTTAACACCAGACCTTGTTTGCTGAGACTCAGGGCAGGTAAAAATGCTTTCCCTTGCTGCTGATGTTCTCAAGCCAGGCATGTGAAGCTAGAGGTTGTTACTGTCCATTGCATTTGGCAGGCAAAACCTACAGCTGGGCAGTTTATTAAGGTTGAAATATCTAATATTCTGCCTCTCAGTCTGGCAAGAAATCCCCAATGAGAGACAGCAACCTGAACCCAGTGAATCCATTCCTGAGGTGGAGGCCAGGATTCTCTCAGTTTCTGTACTTATCTACCTCATCTGTAGCCATCCTGTCATCCCTCCTTTTTTAAATTTGTTATCAAAGTTAACTTATCAGAAGGAGTTCTGCAATATATGAAGCTACCAAAAGAGCATAATTTGTTTTTTTAAAAATATACAAGGATAACATTTTAATTTTGAACACAAAATACAAAACGTGGGACTCCATCCAAAAATGCTACAATAGTCTCTGTGCTTGCATCTATAATGGTTGCAGTTAGAATGTCATAATAAACCAAAGTTTGTCATTATAAGAATGACCTGAGAAGAGAAGTTCCCAATTTTTGGATAACAACCTGAGAGTTTCTCATGTTAGCTATGCTGTCCAGGCTTCCAGATGTTGCAGTGCAAATTCATCTGGGAACCTGTAAGTCGATAACCACTGTTCTAAGACCTTTCTAGTTGTAATGATAAACCAAAATTTATTATATTCTTATTGCTGCTATTATGGATTCAACAACAGACAATATTGTAGCATTTATGGGGAGTCCCAGAGTCTGGATTTTGTGTCCATAATTAAGAAATTATGGTCATAATAGAGGCTCTTTTGGTTGTCATAATACAGAAAATTTCGGTACGTTTGATAGCACATTAGAAAGAGAGATCACAGGAGGCTTACAGGGGAGATAGGAGAGAACAGGGCCTGAGAGAATAGAGTTTCATATCCCCACCTCAGGAATGGAGTCACTGGGTTCAAGTTGGGAACCTCTGCCCTACAATCTGTCCATACTGGCATATTACCTCCTTCCCCCACTCTCCCTGTGCAGCTTTATGTTTTTTCCGCCACCTCATTTCTTTGCTATAAGAAATTTAGCTTTTAATGCAGTTCCCATCAATTACTGTACCTTTGTGCCATTTAAATGAAGTTTATCTTGTGGCCTAAATATCTTGTGGCTCAACTCCCATCTTCAGAGTAAATTTTACCATTTATTTTCATATGTAGCATTGTATAGCTCAGCAGGTTGTTGAAAGAATTAAAAACCAGCTTAATCACCTCAACAGTTTTGATTTCTATTAGTGTTACCATACTTTAAAAAATTCATATGGGGGTATTTAAAACTATTAAAATAAAATATTGTAGATATTTTCCATAATTGCAATAGTTAAAGCCGGGTAGGTGGGGCTCGTCAGCCATGGAAGGCAGCCCATCTAGGAGAAGGAAAACTCCAATTTCAAACCTCCACTGCCTTGTGGATGCCTATGGAAAAAAATAGTTAAAGCATGTGATGGGCCATTTTTTAAATGCATAGTGCCTTTCTGATAACTTACTTTTCAAATCACTTCCTCATTTTCTCTTGTATCTGTCATGTCTGTTTTTCATCAAGATACTGTGTCATTTTAATAAAATCCTGTTCAGATTGATAATCATCTTTTCCATGGTGTATTTCTTCCAAATTTCTAATTTGTAGGCAACGAAAATATGTGGAAGATCAACTTTGCATTTTATCCCCTCATCTCCTTAATGGTCTAATCCTGCATATGCTTACCCAGAAGGAAGTCACAATGGGCTGAGTGGGATGTATTTTCTAGCAATCACAACCTAAATGTCAAAAACCTATTTCTAGAAAATGAATTGTGTTTATTTTCATCATAAATATGAAAACAGTTGTAAATATGAAATATGGAGGTTGTCCTAGTCACAAAATGGTCAGTATTTCTCTCTAGCTTTGGAGGGTATGCCAGAGGTCCATGTTGGGCAGCTGGTGAGTCCAGGTTTGCAGGGGCAGTGCATCTGCTATAGCAGTGGTCCCCAACCTTGGGCCTCCAGATGTTCTTGGACTACAACTCCCAGAAGCCTTCACCACCATCTCTGCTGGCCAGGATTTCTGGGAGTTGAAGTCTAAGAACATCTGGAAGCCCAAGGTTGGGGACCACTGTGCTATAGGTTTGGACGTGAGTTTTATGAGATCTATCCAGGGTGCTGAACCTTATCCCTAAACTAGGTCCATCCCCTTGGGTAGATGCAATGAAGTTCAGATTAAAACCCATAGTGGATTCATGGGCCCTGCAAACATGGCTGCTATTGTGCTGCCAAAACAGATTATAGTAACACACTATATGTGGAGCTGTGTAGATTGTGAATTACAAGGATAGTGGCTAGTGCCTTGTCTATTAATGCATATAACTGCAGTTTTTCATGCCATCACAATACAGTGTACTTGCATTGACCCTTTCAAAATCCCAGACCTCCCACCAATACATTTTGGATTACAACTCTCATCATCACTGATTATTGGCCATAGTGTCTGGCAAATGGGACTTGTATTCTGGTATACCACAGGTTGCCCACTCTGTCTTACATGATCTTTACATGTTACTATATGTGCAATGGGAGGGAGATGATCACAGAAAAATACGCCTTTTAAAATGAAGTGAAAGTTATGGTTCTCTTTTCTGAGAAAGAGCCTAGAATGTCCTAATAATATGGTCCAACTCTGGGCATGTTCAGTGCTAGTACCTGCTAAAGATGTTGCCCAATTCTGTTTCTTGGTTTTACTCATGGCCATACATCTACTTCTGTTTTTATTTGCTAAGGAAGGTCCATCATGTAGACCACTGGTTCTTAACCTTGGGTTACTCAGGAGTTTTGAACTGCAACTCCCAGAAGCCTTCACCACCAGCTGTCCTGACTGGGGTTTCTGGGATTTGCAGTTCAAATGCATCCAAGTAACAAAGGTTAAGAACCACTGATGTAGACCTGTGCACTTGTCCTTCCCCTGTGAACATTATGTTTCTGGAAGAGCTAGGAATAAAAACTCACACACACCCTTGTTTTTTGCTACAACTTCCAGACTTCCTGAGCCATTGTAGCCACTGGCTATGCTACTGGGATCTGTAACGCAACTTCACCCCCAAAAAGTCAGTTTCCCCAGTTCTGATTATTGTTAGTGTTTATGTTTTCACTGAGTTCTTTGGTAAGAATGTGTTATTGTCTCCTTTTGCTCGGTTATTTGATGAAGATTTTTTTTTTAATCTGGTGGATATTCTGGGTTTTATATGGCTTTGTTATGTTTGATGTGTAAGTCATTCTTTGATCCATAGTGGATAGAAAGAGTTCTTATAGTCAGCTTACAGTGTGTAGAATTCCAGAAATATTTGCAGTGAGTCCTAGATTGCAGCTCTGACATTTTTAACCATACAGGCAACAAAAACCATAATATCTACAAATCTTAAGAACCTAGCATTGTGTTCTATCTTCAAAGACAGCATTGTATTCTATCTTTGAATCCAACAGAATTTTCAGGCTTTCTGCAGAGGAGGAATGCTCTGTTTTTTTTTTAATGGAAGACCTTGTTTTGGTTGGCTGCTACAAGCAGATGTAGCCCAAAAGCAGAAGATTTATAATCTACCTTGTTCAAGAGGAATCCTCACTCTGATTTGACCTGTCTCTTCTATAGAATGATGTATGACATAATTTATATATTCTACAGGGACACAAGAAATGCAAAGATTTCAATATTCACCCTTTGATTGATTATAGTGTCTAGATGATAGACAGAGAAGTGCTAAAATTTTAGAAGTGGTAGCAGATGCTTACTTTACCAGAAACTGTTTGGTGTTTTTCTCTTAATATTTTCTGTTAGATACAGCACATGGGAACCAGAGGATCACATTCTTGACCCACGCCTAGTCATGGCTTACGAAGAAAAGTAAGGATGTGTTTTCTTTCTTTTGGGGAAATTAAGCCAAAGTATCTGGCATGTCCACTGAAGAGGTCCAGTGGGTCTAAGAGGAATAATAATAATGTTATATATTCTAGAGACTGGGCTAGAGCAGTAATGGAGAATCTGTGGCCTCCTAGATGTTGGATTGAAACTCCAAGCCTTCTTCGCTATTGGCTGTGTTGGCTGGAGGAAGTTGCACTTAAGCAACGTTGGGAAAGTTGTGTGTTCCTCATCCTTGTCTTATACTTGAGTTTCCCCGTGTAAAGGATTCTCTGAATATGAGTGGTTCATATAATAAAAGAATATATCATATTCCTGTTTGCCTGAAAATTGAATCTCTGTTACATGTTAGGGGATTACATGGATGCTACAAAACTGTTCTTTTTGTCTACACATTGTGTGATAGACATGGGGCAGGTCCACTAGCATCCATGTGACTTCCTGTAATGGGGTGGGAGTCCAGTGGCCTTCTGATGTTATGGATCCCAGCTTCCCTTAGCCCCAGCCCCCAGGGCTAGGGATTAAGAGAACTATAGTCCAACTTTGGGAAATCTACCCCTGTGATAACATATAATTGAAGCCTCATATATCTACGTCTTTTGTGTTATAATGGGAATGACCATTCAGTATATACAATTTTGATTCTTTTCTGAAGGAGCTTTATAAGGTATGAGCGGAACATTCATATATTAGCAAGCTTTTCTCTAGCAGTTTGATGCTTATGTACCAAGTAGATATGAACTCAAGACATGGTTACATTGGAAAAGAAATTCATTATGAAAAAACCCCATTGAATTTAAAGTAAAGGTTCCCCTTGACAATTTTTGTCCAGTCGTGTCCGACTCTAGGGGGCGGCGCTCATCCCGCTCTTCAAGCCATAGAGCCAGCGTTTGTCCGAAGACAATCTTTCCGTGGTCACATGGCCAGTGTGATTTAGACACGGAACGCTGTTTACCTTCCTACCGAGGTGGTCCCTATTTATCTACTCGCATTTGCATGCTTTCGAACTGCTAGGTTGGCGGGAGCTGGGACAAGCGACGGGTGCTCATTCCGTTGCGTGGTTTCGATCTTACGACTGCCGGATCTTCTGACCCTGCAGCACAGGCTTCTGCGGTTTAGCCCACAGCGCCACCACGTCCCTTCCATTGAATTTAGCATGATTTAAATTGTATTATTAAACAGCGACTAAACGACACACATTCAAGCAAGGATTTTTTTTTGACAGGAAATTGTGTTATTTTTACCATAAGCAAGTTATTTTAACGCCTTGTGAGTGGGTCATTTATTTAAACATAGAAGTGAAGTTGATTTACTTTAAATCAGTTCACCAAATGGAAACTCCTCTGTCAGTTCAATTTTCACCCCAATTTCTTGACTATTGTATAATTAATGTATCACACTGCTGCATCCTGCCTGCAATCCAAATGCTTTTTTAAAAAAAACAAATTCATGTCCACCTTAGCGTTGTATCACTTAGCTGCTTAGTCAAACATTTTTTAAAAATTATTTTCTCTGCATTGAGTGCCATTCTTAACACTACAGGGGAGTTTCTTGTCCATTTCACAAGAAGATCCATGAGTGATATGTACACATCACATAGTCTGTGGGGTTGGCTTTTGGAAATGGAACACTATAAATAAACATTTTTGGAAATGGAACAATATAAATAAACATAGTTGAAATTGGTACAACACATATTGTACAACACACAGAACAACTTTAAAAATGGATTAAAATTCATTTCAAGGGGACACAAACTTCTCTTGAGACTGAAGGATGCCTATGAGTTGAAATTGGTACAACACACATTGTACAACACACAGAACAACTTAAAAAATGGATTAAAATTCATTCCAAGGGGACACAAACTTTGATTCAAATACTATGCAACTGCCGTATGATTCGGAATCAATTTAACTTTATTTCATTTATACTAACACATATTCTGAGCTGTTATTGTAATGTAATCACACCCTCAGCTAAGCACTGCTGATTTAGATTGTAGGGAAAGGAAACAGTTCTAACTGGAGTCAGGTAAAACCTTTTTCATTGTAATTTGTATTCATATCAGCTTCAGATCTTTAGTATGTCTGTGTAGCATGTGTGAACAAGCTTACAAAAGGCTTTGTTGATTTTCATATTAGGTTAACAGATAAAAGTGCTAAGTATCTTCTCTCTCCTCAGGGAAGAAAGAGAGCGTGCCTCAGGTTATAGGAAGAGAGGCCCTAAACCGAAACGACTATTGCTGCAGGTAATTCCTAGATTTGCTCTGTGCTATCCATTACTGTGGTGCTGGACGAGACTCTTGAGAGTCCCCTGGACTGCAAGGAGATCAAACCTATCCATTCTGAAGGAAAACAACCCCAAGTGCTCACTGGAAGGACAGATCCTGAAGCTGAGGCTCCAATACTTTGGCTCTCCCATGAGAAGAAAAGACTCCCTGGAAAAGACCCTGAAGTTGGGAAAGTGTGAAGGCAAGAGGAGAAGGGGATGACAGAGGATGAGATGGTTGGATAGTGTCACCAAAGCTATCAACATGAATTTGACCAAACCCTGGGAGGCAGTGGAAGACAGGAGGGCCTGGCGTGCTCTGGTCCATGGGGTCACAAAGAGTCAGATATGACTTAACGACTAAACAACAACAACAATCCATTACTAAGTCTCACTATTACTCTATTAACAGACTATCTAAGCCTTGGGTTGTCAGATGTTGCTGGACTACAACTTTTAGTCCTGTAGGCTGTCACCATGGTTCACGGGAATTGTAGTCCAGCAACAGCTGCAGGACCAAGTCTGGGGAAGACTGCTTTAGGAGCACATCCACCGCATTTTAATGGAGAAGTTAGCTTTCAGAATCACAATTTGACTTAATAGCTTGTCTTAAAATTATGCTTTGACCACAATCCTACTTTCAGAGCACCAGTGTTAAGATTATTTTGTGCACATAGTTTTAGTAATTGCTCTAACTTGCAAAAGTTGTGTGTCTGTACCGAGCTGTAGAGCTGGTCCTTGGAGCAAGGAAAGGAAACTTGTGGCTCTCCAGATGTTCCAGACTTCAGGCTATAAGTCCACATCCAGTTTTGAAAATTAGGAACTCTTAAGTGTTAAGCAATGTATTGGGGCATGTTTAGAAGGCGCATCTCCCTGAGGCTTCCAGGAGATGCAAAACATCATTTTATGTTGGGGGAGATTTGTTGGGAGTGAGTTGCTGCATGCCACAACCATACTTTGCTCGCCCTGCTACAAATCCCAAGCATTTCACAAAATTGTCAAACTGAAAGCGCCTTCTTCTGTTTTGGCAGAGGCTATATAGCATGGACCTCAGGAGTGCGCACAAAGGGAAAGAGAAACTCTGCTTCTCTCTGTCACGAAGGTTTGGCGGAGGAGGAAACAACCTGTCAGGGACCAAGGGAGGGCAGACGGATTTGCCTGAGAAGAGTGGGGGAGCAGTGTTGCCCTTCCCTCTTCGGAAGCAGAGCAAGAACCAGAAGTACCTGCGCCTTTCACGGAAGAAGTTCACCCGCATGTCAAGCCTAGAGAGTCGGAACCGTCGCCGGGAGTTCTTCCTGAAGGAGCCAGTGGCACTGGAGGAGAGGCAGACTCCCAGTGACTGGGATGAAGCCACGCAGCCTGCCAGCAAAGAGGGTAATGTTTGGTGCCTTGCTGTGCCCGTCACCTCTCACTTTCTCAACATTCTTCCTCCTTGACTGCTGTATTTTGTATTCTGGGTGTGCAACATTGAGCTGGCCCTTTAGCTTTTACTGGACCCTTTCTCCCAAACAGAGGCTTTCTGCAGATGGACTCAAAGGAATATCCCCAAGCGAAGAGTTGCACTGGCGGAAGACACACTGTCTCTGAAGAGGAGACAGCAGTAGAGGTGGGCAAAAACCACCAAAACAGTGGTTTGTGCCAGTTTGTCCTTCAGCTGAACAGCCGTTCGTGCTTCCCAGCCCTGCCACCTCCAGAGGGCTCCTGGAGGAGGCAGGGTAGGGAAGTTAAAGCACTGACTCTTGAGTGGGTGCCTGCTGGAGGAGGCAGGGCTGGGAAGCACCAGATTCTTCTTTGGATGAAGGATGAACCAGCACTAACCGGCAGTTGTTGTCCATCTCTAGTCAATAGCATCGTACGTGTTTAATGGGGCTGATCCTGTACTAGTAGCTTGTTTGTCCAAATGGATTAGCAGTCACAGCACTATCTTCCCAAAGAACAATGGCAGCTGTTACAGTAGGAAATGCTACTTTGTTCAGGTGCTTAGGGCTTGGTACTACATAAGCAGCTTTGACGGCGAGCTCAGATGTGTCTCGTAACTGTTGTTTCCTTTGAAGACTAAGGCGAGGGAAGAAACACTTGACTGTATAGCTCTTCCTTCTGCTGCAATATATTGTGGCAATGGTACAAAGTTAAGCTAAGTTTAAACGTTATTCCCTCAGCCTAGAAAACGTAGGCAATTCAGGTTTGAGGTAGTGACAGTTAGAAACAAGGATATCTAACAGAATAGCCTGTGCCAGCCTTCCGCAATTCAGCATCTTCCAGATGTGTTAGTCGACAACACCCATCAGTTCTAGCAACATGCCTGTGCCGGGGAATTATGTTTAGTAGTTTGGCACATCTAGAAGGCTGGTCTGCTTCCTCACTAAACTACAACTACCAGATATAATAATCATCTGCAAAAATGTTTCCCCCCCAGAAATAACTGTAATTTTTCTGACATTTTGCATTTATTATTATTATTTTATTTATATCCCGCCTATCTAGTCAATTAAGACCACTCTAGGCGGCTTTCTAGAGAGAACTTAAATATATAAAGTCTCAGAAGTCTTTCATTAAGGTCTTCATGTTATATAATTTGAATACCATGTCCTAGACATATTATTTATCATTGTAAAAAAAATTCCACACTCCATATTTATTTTTTGATTTTTCTGGAAAAAGCCAAAAAACTGCTTTGGGGAAAAAAGGGGGAAATCCTGGGTTGTTGTTTTTTTTTTAATTTTCCCACCTTTTTTCCGGGCCTTCTCATCTGTGGTCCAGTCTCAATCAAGAAGGCACAGTGGGGAATCAAACTCCCAACCTCTGGCTCTACAGCCGAATACCTGTTGGCAGTCAGTTGACCAAAGATGTCCATAGAGGTAATGAAGGACAGGGGGATCTTCAGCGCATGAGATGAATTTTCTGGATTGTTTCCATGCTTCACCCTCCCAGTCAGCAACATAGTAAGGAAAGAGTAATCTCCCTGTTACTTAAGATCAGAGGTAGTACTGGGGAATTTTGGATGCATAGAGGGAGCAAATGCAGGTTCTCAGCTGCAGTGTGAGGGTGAAGCTCCAGCTGGCACTCTGAAAGGGGATCCTGTGATCTCTGGAGGACTGGGCATACCTGTGACGTCAAGTATATCGCCACACCATCTGATGTCGTCTGTTCTGCGCAAGGTATGCAGATGGGGTCTGGCTTGCAAAAGTGGTAAAGTGGCTCTCCACTCCTGCCAGTGAAATATTTTGCATTTTGAAGAACTTTGCTTCCCTAAGTAAACCTCACACTCAGCAGAACAGCTACTGTATTGAACACCAGCAAGCCATCCCTCTGTACAAGGACTATGTACATATTCCATGATTTGAGAAGGAATATTCCCTTGGTGACATGCAACATGGAAAGCCCCGTTTTATAATCTGGGTGTGCAGGGCCAATTCAATAAAGTTGCTACATTTGAATAGTCTACTTCCGTTAGCAGTGAGGGTGGGGAAGGAGTTTTTGATGTCATTGTAGTTCCACAGTGCTTTATCTCCTATGGTTTAACTTGGTTTTGTCCTGAGATGAAGCTGATTGTCTTTGGCCTAAAAAAACATGTTTAAAGATATTTTCTTATATAATGATAAAAGTTTATAAAATGTTCACGGTAGATAGGTAGATAATTACAGTGCTGTGCTGGGCATACAGTAGTATCTAGTTCTGTGCTTGGATCTGAACCCTGGGGGGTTCTCACAGATTTAGCCAGAATTGCCAATTCACTTGATATAGACTGTAGGCCTTTGCAAAGAACGTGGAACATTTAACAAAAGATTATGCCAAGCATGTAACTCTGCGATCCTTCACAGATTGAATACCTGTTCCTCTTGCTGTTCCTGTAATAGGAATTTTCCAGTGAATGATTTCACATAGGTGTTGTGTGTTAGATGTCTGTAGTTATTCAGAACAGATGCTTAGTTTACATGTTCAGTCCCTGATGTCTTTCGCAGAAAGTTCTTAGGAGGCAAATGCTGGGCAAAGCCCTATTGCGTTGAGACTTAGGCAACCAATGTGAGTCAAAGTAGACAATATTGGCCCAAATGAATCAGTGGTTTATTTTTAGATAAGGCAGCTGCACATATTTATGGAAATAGGAAAACAATTTTATTTAGCTATCTTAGCCTCTGTGATATCGTTTTCGAAATTTGTGCTTTATAATTGTGGTAACCCCAACATCCCCCTTCACGGATTGCTGCCTTGTTGTGGTGAAGGGACTTGAGTAATTCAGAGAAGCTATGGGCAATGCCAGGCAGGGACACCCAAGACAGACAGGTCATAGTGGAGAGTTCTGACTAAACGCAATCCACCCAGCTGGATGTGGTCAAACAGATGGCAAGAATAAACATTGACATCCTGGGCATCAGTGAACTAAAATGGACAGGAATGGATGAATTCAATTCAGACGATTATCATATCTACTATTGTGGGCAAGAATCCCATAGAAGAAATGGAGTAGCCCTCGTATTCAACCTAAGAGTGGGAAAAGCTGTACTGGGATACAATCTCAAAAATGCTAGAATGATTTCAATACGAATCCAAGGCAGACCTTTCAACATCACAGTAATCCAAGTTTATGCACCAACCACCGATGCTGAAGAGGCTGAAATTGACCAATTCTATGAAGACTTACAACACATTCTAGAACTGACACCAAAGAAAGATGTTCTTGTCATTATAGGGGACTGGAATGCTAAAGTAGGGAGACAAGAGATAAAAAGAACAACAGGTAAGTTTGGCCTTGGAGTTCAAAACGAAGCAGGGCAAAGGCTAATAGAGTTTTCTCAAGAGAACAATCTGGTCATCACAAACACTCTTTTCCAACAACACAAGAGG